GTGGATTCTAGCAGTTACTGGAAGCCAGTGAAGGGAGCGGAGGAGCGGCGTGGTGTGGGAACATTTCTGCTGCTGTTTAATTGCCAATGTTTATCCTTCAATGTTTAGCTTAGCTTAGCATTTGCCAATTGTTCACACTGTTTAAGAACCAACATGGATTTTTGTTTAACTTTGTTTCAGTTGAAGGTGGTTTTTTGTCACCGTAGGACTGAGAGTGGCGCAGCTTCACCAACAGAGGGCAGTGTAGGACTTCACTCTGCAAACATCCTTGCTACAGACTTGCAACGGGCAGTATCAGTTTCATCTCATCGCTGCGTCAGACAGGGTTAGTGCAGCTCTATTTGATATGTATAACAACAAAGCAGAGACTTGTTTAATATTGGTTTATTGGTTCATAATCAGAGCCCATTGTGGTTTATGGCTTATTATTGTTACCAGTCAGGATACTCCGTAGAAGTTGCAGAGTATCCTGGAGTCCATGTTGAACCTCCTTAGCCTGTGGAGGAAGAAGAGCCGCTGTCGAGCTGTTTAGGTGATGGTGTTTGTGTGATGAGTCCATGTCAGGTCCTCGGTGATGAGTCCATGTCGGGTCCTCGGTGATGAGTCCATGTCGGGTCCTCGGTGATGAGTCCATGTCGGGTCCTCGGTGATGAGTCCATGTCGGGTCCTCGGTGATGAGTCCATGTCGGGTCCTCGGTGATGAGTCCATGTCGGGTCCTCGGTGATGAGTCCATGTCGGGTCCTCGGTGATGAGTCCATGTCGGGTCCTCGGTGATGAGTCCATGTCGGGTCCTCGGTGATGAGTCCATGTCGGGTCCTCGGTGATGAGTCCATGTCGGGTCCTCGGTGATGAGTCCATGTCAGGTCCTCGGTGATGAGTCCATGTCGGGTCCTCGGTGATGAGTCCATGTCGTGTCCTCGGTGATGAGTCCATGTCAGGTCCTCGGTGATGAGTCCATGTCAGGTCCTCTGTGATGAGTCCATGTCAGGTCCTCTGTGACGAGTCCACGTCAGGTCCTCTGTGACGAGTCCACGTCAGGTCCTCTGTGACGAGTCCACGTCAGGTCCTCTGTGACGAGTCCACGTCAGGTCCTCTGTGACGAGTCCACGTCAGGTCCTCTGTGACGAGTCCACGTCAGGTCCTCTGTGACGAGTCCACGTCAGGTCCTCGGTGATGAGTCCACGTCAGGTCCTCAGTCAGGGACGTCCCTGGCCAACTTGGGGCCCCAAGCGACATTGTGAGATGAGCCCCCCCCACCGACAGGAGTGAAAACATTTTGGGAAACAAAGTACTTTGCAAATATAATTCTTATCAACAGTTACTTTTTTATACAGTGAGGTAAATGGTAAATGTGCATGTATGTCGTTCAGTATGCGTTTACAGGTGAATACGTCTGCATTTCCTGCATGCAAAGTCATCGACAAGGTCATCGTATGGCAGCTGCTGTGCCAACTGTGCGTTGATGCTTATGATAGCCAGGCCACTTAAGCGTTCTTGTGCCATTGACGACCGGAGGTACGTCTTCATAAGCTTCAGTTTGGAAAAGCTTCTCTCAGCAGACGCAACTGTAACAGGAAGAGTTTACTGCAATGCCGAGGGCAATCCAGAGATTTGGGTACAGTTCCTGTAACTCACTTTTGTGGAGAAATTACAACATCTCCAGAGCAGGTTTTTGTAGTGGCATCTTTGGGAGGTTGATGATCTCCTGGACCAATGCAGACAAGAAATCCATCATTCAAGCAGACTTAAGATATGTTCTGATCTTAATAGTGCACTACAGAATGAATATAGTGAAAATACTAGCCTCAAAAAGATTAAAATATAATTAATGCAAATAAACTACTTCTACTACTAATAATAATAATCAATTCAATAATATAAATACTATATTATTTTATTATAATATAGTTGTAATATAGTCAAAACAAAACATGCTTATTACATGCTCAAAAAACTGATATTTCTTAAATCTGTATTCAAATGTAGTTCCCTCTGTCAGCAATGTATCAACAACTACACACACATTTCTATCTGTATTTCTCTGTGTTGTGGTACAACACAGAGAAATACAGAAATGTATACGCTACCAGGACACAACAGTTTTGGATGATGGAAAGATCAAACACCTCACACAACACGAAAGGCATGCCTTCCTCACAGCATTGATAGAACCACCGATTACAATTCTTCTTCACAACAGAATGACACACAAGGGTTTGGTCTACACAAGTAAAAACTATACCCGCGCCAAAAGACGCAATGATTATTGTGTAAGTCTGACAGATGGACGCTCTGGGGAGATGGAGCAGATAATATCATTAGCCGCGTTCACACCGGAGTACTTTCACCGTACTTTTCGCGTTTTAGTTCCGTGAGTACCCCTTATGTCGCGTTCACACCAAAAATCGTACTTAATCTCGGGTACTTTTACCCCCATTTTTAGAGCCAGCTCAGAGAGCGTACTTTTCTGTGGGTGAAAAGTGCTCCAAAAGTGCCCCAGTGCTGATTGGCTGGGCGAATTGCAAACCACGCCCGTACAACTCTGAAAATGTTGTGTGGAGACGCCATTGTTTTTCCTCGCTACAAAAACACAACGCTCCGTGCGTTGTGTTTGTTTTTGAAAGCAGTTATGGCAAGCATCAAGAAATGATGAGGAGGGTGTCGGCGCTTTCTGGAGATCTACGCCGAGGACGCGACCCAGGGAATGCTACTGAAGCCAGTTCGGTAGCTTTCACTCGACCTGGGAATTGTGCACAGCCGGCTAAATATAAAGAAACTCAGGCAGGACTACAAACGGCGGATTCAGTGGCCAACGATGACTACCACGATGAAGGTAAAATCAACTACATGCACTGGGGTTTTAATCTGCACAATAATGGTCTCAGATGTACTTTTATTTGCTCAGTAGATCAAGCTAGCCATGCTAGCCATAATAGGCTAACACCGGCCCCGGCTAGCTACATCTAGCTAGCTAGATATTCTCGGCCGCTCTGAAAACGTTTTGACTTGTGAATAACTGTGCAGTGTTTCTGTAATTTGCTTCACTAACTCATGGCACTAATCGTCTGTTTCAGGCGAGGATGGACAACTCTCGGGATTGGAAACAAGTGAGCTTTGCATTCTAGATCACAGCGCTTTGTCGTCCTCCTTACCAGCAACCAAACGCAAAGGTACACGCACTGTAACTTTGACTTGAAAGAACGTTACGCATCGAACTGATGTTCACAATCATGTTTATTTTCATAATATTCATCATATTTTATGTTTAACTTGCCTCAACAACATTAAACAAAGTTCAAGCATACATGAAGCACTCTTCAAAAAGGAACAATCCTCCGTGTTTGAACCTCTTGAATCGCTGCATAGCCGATTTATTTGGACTGGATTATCCCAGAGAGGCCAAACATTCTTTATAACACAGTTTCAGATTTGTGAAACCTTAATTCTATTTGTGAAAATACAAAAAAGGGAGATTTCAGTGCTTTTTTTACATGTAGACCACATTAGACCAGGTCCTGATCTAAAACCACTATACCTAGACTCATCAAATCTGGACTGGATTATCCCAGAGAGTCAAAAGATTCTTTAGAACAGTTTCAGATTTGTGAAACCTTAATTCTATTTGTGAAAATACAAAAAATACATTCCTAGTATGTTGTAAAACTACATGGCGACTAAACAGATCTTGTATCTTGCTTATTTTCCCCTCTTAGGAAAGCGGACACGGGATGCGAATTTCTTTGACACCGCCCAGGCGTTGGAGGACCGGCGTGCCGTGGTGAATGAGTCGCTGCGTGGAGATCAGATGGTGCTGTTCACCAAGGCCCAGGAAACGGAGGACAAGATGCTCACCTCGATGGTAGCGCCAGGCAGAAGTGTTCAAGCAGCAGATGGAGTGCCAGCAGCACCAGGATGAAGTGTGGGCGCTGCGCCATGAGGAAGCGTCGGCGCAGCGGCAGGATGAGCGACAAACTGCATTTAATAACAGTTTATTTGGTATAGTTTTTGTAAATACTGACACACGACACACAACGTTGCACTAAGGTGTGTATGCTGCTGAGACTATCCCTACACCTGGGACAGTTTATTTTATATTGTTATTACTGTTATGACTTTATTTTATATATAATGTTTACTGACATGTACAACTGACACTTTATTTACATTTAAAATTGTTCTATTTAATGTTATGTCTTGAGAGTGCAATAAAGAAAACCGACATGGCGATTAAGCTTATTTCTCCTGACACTTTATCTTTTGTGACCTGTGTAGCATCCTATACATCACATGTAAGTGATTATTCTGATACCATCATGTTTCATCGGTTATAAACTGGCAAAGCTTTATTTGTCATTTATTTATCATCAATGTTGCAACCTTGTGGGGGAATGGCAGGGGCACATACACAAATATGACAATTTATATAATTTTAAATATTATTTGACCTAAACTTTTAATTCCCCCCCCATTTCACACAACACAACATGGAGTCCACTATGGGCCAAAACTAACATGTATGTTTGCATAGTGTTTATGGCAGACGGATGCAGTGGGTCTCAGGAAGATATATAATAAAGGTGGGTTTGCTGCTGAGACTATCCCTACAGCTGGGAGTTTATTTTATATTGTTATTACTGTTATTATATAGTACAACTGACACTTTATTTTATATTGACAATGTTTACTGACATGTACAACTGACACTTTAGTTACATTTAAAATATTTCTATTTAATGTTATGTCTTGAGAGTGCAATAAAGAAAACCGACATGGCGATTAAACAGATCCTGTATCAGTTTTTCTTCTTCTTCTCTTGTTTTGTAGCGGGTTGCAAACAACTTTAAGGTGCTTACCGCCACCTACTGTACTTGTAATCTTCCCTCAGGGAAAAGTACTCCGGTGTGAACGCGATCTGTACTAAGTACCCTGGGGTTAAAAGCGCCAGGGCTCTTAGTGCCGGAACTAAGTACAGGAAAGTACTTGGTGTGAACGCGGCTAGTGAGCTCAGAAGCAGGAGCAGAAATGGCCATGTTCTTCAAACCTTTGGACACACAGACTAGGTCCTTCCCCCTTCCACAGGGTTATGGTTTTGTGCCTCATATCTTTAGGGGAAATGAAGGTACCTTGATCCACTTGGTTCCAGTTGATGATCTTGAACAAAAATGTCTCCTTGTGAAGTCCGCTGATGGAATGTATCCATGCAACTTCCCAAACCTGTCTGAGAGGGATTACAATGCTAAATGAGTAATGAGCCGTCATCATGGTAAAACTGTCCGGTGTCTCTCTTTCCCCTGGACTCATTTTCTCCTTTTTCATGTTTAATTGTTCCTCTTGAAGGGGCCCTAATGTGCTAATTTCTTGTTAAATATTGTTTACACAATAACCTATATAACACACTACAGGAAAGAAAAACCCCAAAACGAACCACCCTCAATGAGACACTAAATACAAATGATCCTGAAAGTTTGCAAATGGTGTCCTTTTTAAGTAATTGTTGTATCATTCATAACACTCTGAGATTAATCACAATGTGGCCACCTGTCATCTCCACTAGTGACATTTCAATTAAAACAGTCTTATTTATAGAGCTTTGTATACTACTGAGTTTGTATGTTATGTCTCTTAAATAAATGGAATGGAAACATGCAAACAGGGTTTTGCATTGAAGCAATTGGATGGAAAATATAACACGTTTTTTGTTAACAACAGAGCTGGAAATGGAAGCAATACAAATATTACTTTAATGTTACTATGTGTTGCTTGTGTTCTGATGCACTTCACAATGCATGACGTGTTTTTTTACTAGCATCATCAACACTGAACTGAAAATATATGTATTTATTTATTTTATTTTTGGTTTTGTACATTTAGGTAGGGTAGGTGAGTTTGAGAAACCGGCTCGAGATCGCACTTTGGAGGTAACACTAACCAATGATGGTCTTCTTTGGGCACCGGGATCTTTGACAGTAAGAGAGGAGACAAGCCACCATGTCACCAATTTGAAAAATGATTGAAAATACGAAGAAATAAAAGTAAGCATCATAAACCTTATTTTAAGTCTTACAGGCTTTCTTTCTTTATTTCATTGTCACTTTCTGTAAAAATATAAAAGATGATTAACCCCATAAAAGATCAAACAGCTTAAAACTATTTTTATTATTTTTAGAGTTTGATGTCAAATGGATGCTGAGAGGTGCCGCTGAACTCATCGTAAAAAACATCTCTCAAAAGTTAAAAATGGCTTAGCGCTTAGCCGAGCAAGTAGAGACAGTTTATTCCCATTTCTGGAAACTAGTCTATGAAAGTCTATACAATTATATTATGGGACAAAACTTGTTCAAACACATATTGTTTGCATCATAATTGTTCATTAGTGGATACATTATTTTAAGATAAAATGGTTCATAATTACAGAAAACATTTTATGTAATTAAATAATTCTTCAATCTTTGACTATCACATTTCTTTCAGGAATCAACCATGACAAATTCAACATTTTGATCAAATGGCATCCTATAAGGACAGTGTAATAAGAACAACACAAATCAATCTCACCACTACTTTCATCTGCTGTGGGGTTCAGCTGTTTGAAAAGATGTTGCTGCAACTTGATATTTAAAACACGCAGTGTGTCACTTTCTCCTGCTCCTCCAGCCTAAGACAGAAGGGAATATGTTATGAGTAGCTAACTTACAAGAAAAACTAATATTAAGTAACATCTAGTAGTTCGTTGTCTATAGTCATAGTCCACTTGCACACATGTTGTTAATATTCAGCAATCACTGAAAGCTCGTATCTGGATGGTATATTGTAATGATGTAACTTAAACAAGTAGCAGCCTCATACCATGCAACTTTGACAAAAGTACACTTAAATATCACATCACACAATGAACTGAAACGCAGACACTTTGGGAATATAATCATTTCATGACTCAATAACAATAGAAAACGTTTATGATTTGTCTATCATAATATGCCATACTTTACAGATTTTTCCTTCCAGATTACTTCTGAGGTTGTTTTATTACACAAAATCATATAAACATATTAATTATCTTATGCATTTCAGTTTCGACTTACATTCCTCAATAACCATTCACATACCTTCACTCTGTCTGTATGTTACTCTTTTATGTGATAAACACATAGGCCTATGTCGAATTGAATTTCACATTCAATAAAATCTGTGTACCTTAAATACATTTGTATACAGTATTAACCTGTATTTAATACTACTCTTCTTTTTACTTTCACTTAAAAGTAGTATTTCATGACCCCTCTAACCTGTCATGTTGACTATTTACCTTCTGCCATTAATGGCAGGTCACTAAAATGCATTACTGAAACATATTTAAGTGTAACAAACAACAGGGTTCATACACTTTTTCACCAATGATTTTCAATGACTTCTCCATGACCTTTACCTAATTTTCCATGCGGTACCACTGAAAACGGTTTATTTGAACATGGAACAGGAAAATAAGGTCTGCATATGAGACATGTTGTGCCTATCTGAAACAAATCCAATAGGCTTACTAGCTTCTACACGCTAAAGCAACTAAAATCTCTCACCAGCAAAACACCTCGTCAGTTAAATGCCATTTTATGTTTCATTACTATACGATACAGTATTTATTATCATTATAGTATTACTATTTCAGCTATTAGCTAAAATATAAATTATATTTGATGCAACTTTGGTTACATTTCCATGACTTTTCCAAAACTTTGGGAAAAATATCGTTTTCCAGGGCCTGGAATTAGCATTTTGAATTTCCATGACTTTCCAGGTTTTTAATGACCGTAGGAACCCTGAAACAACCTTACTGTTTTACCAACAGTAACTAACTTATAACCCTTACAAAGTACATATTTATTACAAACTCACAATCACTATACATGCATGTAAACACTCAGTGTACGGGAGCTTTCAGATATACTGACAAACTTGTATCCTTACTGCGTCAGATCACGTTGTCCCCAAAATGGCGCCGTACCGGGGAAGCTAGGCTAATACACACACACTATTTAACGGTTTTACACATGTAAACAGCGCTACAAAGTCTTTAACTGTTAGCGGGCCGTTACATATTATCTTCGCAAACCTTATGGGGGATTCATTGTGATTTATGCACAGTTTACCAACCTGTATGGTGCAGGTGAAACAGAAGAAATGAGGACACGTTGTGTTTAGTTTCCTTCCAGATTACTTCGGAGGAAACCCCGGGAACGTCCGTCGCTTTAATCGGTCCCCCGGAACCATTGAATCGAACACAAACGTTCCGCCTCACTACTTACTGCATCTATCGACCCCGTTAGTGAAATGAAAATAACAGATGTACAAAATAAATGCATGTTCTAACTCTAAATAATAATTATATTAATGTGGTCACACATCCCAGGGGTGCCACAAATGCAGGACTTTTACACTGTAATATCACTATTTTCTACCTAATTAAAATATCTTAGTCGGATAAATCATCCAACACTATGGCATGTACAAGGCATGTATTTCACAATAAATACCGTGTTAAAAAAATAAGTTAATATCCTCTATATATAACCCAGAAGGATGAAGTGCTCTGACAAACAGTGCCATCTTTGTGCAAAATGAATATTGCCATACAGGAATGAAAAGTCAATAAATAAACATGTTGTTAAAACTCACACGTTTTTGTTGTTTGTCACATGTTGTTGCACGTCACAAAGCGTGCACCGCCCGCGCAGAATGTAATGCTTACAGGTCTTTGGTTTGGTTCCCATGAGTCTGTCGTGTCTATTTTTCTCAGACCCTTTGTTGATCAGGCAAAAACATTGGCATCCAAAGGTGTCTTGGAGGGAAAATGGAACCTGTGTGAACAGCAAAGCTGTTGGACTTTGTTGCTGTGTAGACTCAAAGGCAAGACCTACAATGCAAAACACCACACAGTTTAATGGGTACTTTGGTTGCGGCTTCTGTCTACATCCTGGTACTCTAATAGAGAAACAGGTGACAGGGTAGAGCAGAAATGCATGATTTAAAAAATGGGTGAACAGACGCACATTTGTTACTTTCCAAACTGTTGGAGCAGAATACCTCTGCTACGCGCCGTTTGTTGGATGAGGCTGGATCTCTATTAAATTAAGAAAGGAATTGAAAACACCGGAATCAAAGTTATAACAAATTATCTGAGTTTACTTCTAGTAGGAAACCAAACACATATACAAGTTATACAGAGTACTCGAGTACCCCGGACTTTTAGATTTGTGATGCGATGCGGATGAATGCATCGGGACCAGACAAACTCATCAAATGAGAAGAAATTGGACTTCAAGTTTGTGATTCGATGCGGACACAGATATCAGGACCAACAAACTCACCAAACCCAAAAGCAATTTTACACACACAAACGTCAGTATTTCTATCTGTCTTTGGGGCGGAGATTTGTCGATTCTTCCTTCCCACTTTTCTCCCAAGCGAATCAGAGAACCCCTGGGGAGGAGCTGTTTAAACTGACCACCTCCCCCAAGTGCCCTGACTGGCTGGATTCGCTTCTGGTCGGGTTCAATAGTTCTCTCCAGGACTTGAAATTCCAAAGTCCCCTAAGGTCAAAAGTCAATTCTTATCTCCGTCCCGATCTCCCCTCCCTACCTTTTCCAGGGGATCTTTTCCTATTTTACGATGTCTTTAACGACTTAGAAACAGCATCTGGCTCTTAGTGGTGATAAGGATCAATGTTGGTGTGTGAAACACAGAATCTCTAAGTCAGTGAATTTAAAAGTGAGAATAACATTCTTTTTCTAAGTGATTATCAAAACCCGTTCAAACAATATATGTTTACTTCAATACAGTGTAGAATCATATCTTCTTACTTCAATCCCTCTTTTGATCTCACCTCACGAGATCAACATATAGCATTTGAAACATTACCACTGTCAATTTTCTTCTTACTGTGTCTGTCCCAACATTTATATAAACCCATCAGAAGTTGGGATATAGAGCACTTTAAACCTTTAGGAACAGTCCACAACAACAACTTATTATGACAGTGGAGGGAGAATAAAATATGTCTAAAAAGCAAAGTCCTTGTCAGCTGAGTCATCTTTACTCTTCCCTCAATGGTGGAACTGATGAGTCTAACACACAGTGAGCAGATACAAGGCACACAACAACAACCACATGTCACCAAAATGGCAATAAAAGTAGCCACAGAAATCAGAAAAGACATTATCATACTTTTCCCTCTTTTGGTAACACATAGTTCTGTAGAATAAAAAATACAAATCCCTTATATTGTGGGATATAAAAATAAAGTTGAAAGTTCCTCAAAAAAAATGGATTGTTCAGACAAAGTTCCACACCGGCTATATCAACCTGTTTCAGCGGGAAATGGAGTTCCCTGTGCCGTCTTGGTTTGCCATATCTTCGTCCCCCCAGCCCGCTGACGGCGGCTTCTGGGGTGCTTGCTAGAGAGATGTGGCCTGATTGTCTTCCCCCGGCCCGCTGATGGCGGCTTCCGGGTCGACTGTTGGAGAGATGTCCTGATCCTCCTCCTCCGGACTGCTGATGGCGCCTCCTGGGTCGACTGCTGGAGAGATGTCCTGATCCTCCTCCTCCGGCCCGCTGATGGCGCCTCCTGGGTCGACTGCTGGAGAGATGTCCTGATCCTCCTCCTCCGGCCCGCTGATGGCGCCTCCTGGGTCGACTGCCTTGACGAGAGCCAGATCTGTTCTGATGTCGTCCAGGGTCCTCGCAGGTGTTTTTCCCGACCGCACACTGGCTCCAGTGGTACCAGTTGTCTCCCTTTCCATCTGAGCGGACGGCATGGGAGGTCCCCTCCAACCAGACGTAATCTGCTGTGTTGGCCTTGTGTTTCTCGGGTCCCCCTTTTGACGTCAGCAGCCTGTGTGGAGAAGTCTCATACCAAGCCCTTAAGTTGCTGGAAATATGGTTTTGAAATCATCTTTTCTACTTCTTTAGTGTTTATTGGCGGCACCAACTAGACTGGAGTGTGGACAAGAGACTATGCAGAAAATAATAAACAAAAATTAAAAATTAAAAATTAAAATTAAAAATAAAAAATAAAAAATAAAATTAAAAAATAGAACAAAAATAAAAATAAAACAAAAAGGAACAAACTAACAAAACAAAAAATAACCAAAGCTAGATTATTTTAACTGTATCAATTTCTCTTAAAAGCAACAAATAAAACAAAACAAAAAATACCATAACTAGTATTTTAAATTGATAAATTTCTCCTAAAAACGTAATAATCTCACATACATATTGTCTGATGTATATCCTATCCTTTTCCCCCTTTTTCTGAAATAGAACGCCGTTAACGGTGTTCTTATTTTCAGAAACATCGAGCCTTATACATCAGTTATTTAATATCAGCTATATATTTATTATTACTATTACTTATATATCAGGCATTAAATGTCAGCCTTCTTCCATGATTGACCTCGTCTACATTATCTGACTTATATTGATACGTGTCTGTTTGTATTTATTTAATATACTGGGCAATTATTGATAACTTTTTGAATCTCCCTCTTTTCTTAACAACTTGAGGTATGGCTATTTTGAAATCTGACTTGGTTAAGAGATGATTTGTTTATTGGTGAAAGGAACACTCTTCCCCTCAATGGTGTGGGGGTGGATATTCAGGGAGAGTTCCTTACAATCTCCAGATCTTCCTCTCAGTGTAGAGGCCATAAAACCTTTTAATGGGCTCTGTGGTCTGTTCAGATTTAGATTTTCTTCCTCTCCAGAGGTCACGCCTGTCTTTGACCCTGTATGCTGCTTTGAGTCAGCAGCACCTCAGGACAGAGAAAGGGAGATCTCTTCCCAAAAGTGTAAGTTCCCTTTTGAGCAACATAGCTCCACATTTAACACTCCCTGACTTGTTTGTAAAGCGTTCTTTAAGGCCTGAATTGAGTCTTCCGTTATGTAACGGAAAATCCCATTTCCAAAAAGGGTCAGTTTAATAGCCCTTATCATATTACCGCTCTGTGCTTGCATGCTAGGACCTATTGTCTTTGCCAGAGCTGCTGCTACTCTTTCTACATGTATTAGCTCCATATTAGCAGGGTTCACCAACATGGTTGGTTGATCCAGTTTAAGATTTTTCAATATCTTCCATTACTATTTCCAACATTCCTTATCCCTGAATATCAGGTCTAACAATGTGTTTTCCTTTAGGAGTATTAGATGGAATACTCATAAGTGGCATTTGTGAGCCCTTATCTCCTTAGGGTGGAGGTAGGGTCTCAGACATTATACCACCTTCTCGTTGCTCTCTGTCTCTCAAGTATTACACAGATTTGACTTTTAAAAAATCACACAGAGCTTCTCATACCTTATCATATCACATTCAGGCAAATTTTTATTGTGCGATGTTTATTTCAACAGATAGCGTGACTTCCAGAAGTAGGCTTCTACAATCTCCTCACGGTGATTGCGACTTCAGGTCAAGAGTTAAAAACTCAGTCAACAAAATCTCTTTATCGTCACGTTTAATGAGCCTGATTATCCCCACAACAGTTTTGTGATGAGATACGGTCGTTCCAAATAATTAGTTGGAGGTCGCGTCTCTCTCCTCCTCTATCACCCACCATATAACAATTACAGAAATGTTATACATTTAAAGCACCACGAAAGGTAACCGCATTAATCAATCTGATCATGACCTGCGGGGAATGTAACCCTTCTTTTACAGCCTTACAGTCTTTAATGAAAGCACTGCGAGGTAACCGTATTCATCAATGTTATATTGACCTACGGGGAATTTAACCCTATTTTGACACCTAAGTAATCTTTAATTAAAGCGCTTGCAAGGTAACCGCATTAATCAATCTTATCATGATCTGCGGGGAATTTAACCCTCTTTTTCTAGCCTTGCAGCCTTCGTATTTAGTGAGTGAAGGGCTGGGATCTACCCGCCACACTCAAACACTATTTTTGCTCTAGATCCAGGACTGAATACCCTTCTCTAAGCACTAATAATCTAATTTAACTAGAATATGTATTGTATTTCCCACCGTGACTAAAAACACTGAGAACGCTGCTGACAACTCTAAATTTTTTAGTATAATCAATCACAGATTTTTGATAATCAAAACAGGTGTCTGCTCACCTTTTGTATATGGCGCCTTGGTGTAGTTGTCAACAGTATCTCTGTGTCCTCCCCCTGGACTGGATTCTGTCCCCTGGCTATCGGTGTTCCTTTCTAGAGATCAGCTCACAAACGTCGGGAGTCACCACTTGTTGGAGTAGAATACCTCTGCTACGCGCCGTTCGTTGGATGAGGCTGGATCTCTATTAAATTAAGAAAGGAATTGAAAACACCGGAATCAAAGTTATAACAAATTATCTGAGTTTACTTCTAGTAGGAAACCAAACACATATACAAGTTATACAGAGTACTCGAGTACCCCGGACTTTTAGATTTGTGATGCGATGCGGATAAATGCATCGGGACCAGACAAACTCATCAAACGAGAAGAAATTGGACTTCAAGTTTGTGATTCGATGCGGACACAGATATCAGGACCAACAAACTCACCAAACCCAAAAGCAATTTTACACACACAAACGTCAGTATTTCTATCTGTCTTTGGGGCAGAGATTTGTCGATTCTTCCTTCCCACTTTTCTCCCAAGCGAATCAGAGAACCCCTGGGGAGGAGCTGTTTAAACTGACCACCTCCCCCAAGTGCCCTGACTGGCTGGATTCGCTTCTGGCCGGGTTCAATAGTTCTCTCCAGGACTTGAAATTCCAAAGTCCCCTAAGGTCAAAAGTCAATTCTTATCTCCGTCCCGATCTCCCCTCCCTACCTTTTCCAGGGGATCTTTTCCTATTTTACGATGTCTTTAACGACTTAGAAACAGCATCTGGCTCTTAGTGGTGATAAGGATCAATGTTGGTGTGTGAAACACAGAATCTCTAAGTCAGTGAATTTAAAAGTGAGAATAACATTCTTTTTCTAAGTGATTATCAAAACCCGTTCAAACAATATATGTTTACTTCAATACAGTGTAGAATCATATCTTCTTACTTCAATCCCTCTTTTGATCTCACCTCACGAGATCAACATATAGCATTTGAAACATTACCACTGTCAATTTTCTTCTTACTGTGTCTGTCCCAACATTTATATAAACCCATCAGAAGTTGGGATATAGAGCACTTTAAACCTTTAGGAACAGTCCACAACAAACATCAAAACCCGTTCAAACAATATATGTTTACTTCAATACGGTGTAGAATCATATCTTCTTACTTCAAAACGCACATGAGAGGGACTAGTATTGCTCATTGGTTGTCATACTGTAGCTTGTATTTAGCTGTAATCTTCCTGAAAGCACCAGCTAAAACTATGATCAGCTGCACTGTTTGGTTTCCCTTCGAGGAAAACAAATGCTGCTGTCAAAACATGTTGTAAATATATTGCAACATACAGAGCCCCTAAGGGGATATAGAAAAGAAACGTTCTTGTACGCATTAGAAACTTACCAGTGAACACAGGAGCCGATGGAGCTGCTCAGTCAGTTTGTGGCCGTTTCTCAATGTCGAGTAAACCTGCTGCAGAGCCACTACTTCAAGTAGACTACGTCATCGAGTGGCGCCGAATGACTGTTTAAATGCATGTTAAATGCCCAGCATTCGGCGCCACTCGATGACGTGGTATACTTGAAATAGTGGCTCTGCAGCAGCTTTACTCGACATTGAGAAACGGCCATTCTGTCTGATCTTTAAGTTGTGCCTCTCTGTGAATACTCTCACTTTGAGATATTACATCAATACAATTGATGAAGCAATAACAATATTTATAAATAAGTCCAGCTTTGTAAATATGAGGATTTGTTGTTTTTCTGTTTTATATCATTGTGTATGTAATGTCTATGCCTCTGGACATTTGAATTGGTATTTTCTTACTGTTGTGTAAAAATAACAGTTAAGCTATTCATCATCGTGAAAGCAATGAACAGATGAATTGATAACATATGAATGTATAACTCAATAATTGAGGTTATAAACTATACTTAGTTAATGAGCCAGGGGGTTGGTTGTGCCAATGGAGATGGACCATGTCTCATAGTGACTTTTTAAAGGTCTATCGTTTTGAAAAATGCATTATAGCATTGCAAGAATATAAGCTTTCTATATGCTATTACTCCTTATTTCAACCCCATATCATTGCAATTCTTTCAAAAAAAATTCTACATGTTTACGCATAGAGCCAGTATGAAAGCGGGCAACCTACTCCCAAAGCTTAAAGTAATATATCATTGTAAAGTTTAGACCAAAATCTATGTACCGTCACATTTTAAAGAGACTAAACACATAATTTGACCTTTTGAAATCTTGGGCTGCTGAAGTACCTATTGTTAATACTGCTGAAAATGCACTTATATAGTGTTCAAAAACTTTTCATACCTAGGTTATGGCTATTGACAAATGAACTACTACTTCTCTGAGCTGTTGAACAAATATCAGTCTTTCTTCAGCAAATGGTGCTTGTTTATTTAGTTGCACATGTGGACCTTAGGTCAAATTATAGATGATTTTATATTGGGGGTGGCATTGTTGGTACTGACTGGATATTTTTGACAGACCGGTTAGTTTTAGACCTTATAAAAGAGTTGCTCTGATGTCCTTAGAGAAAAAAAGTCAGCTCCCGAAAAATGTATTTAAGTGAAATGCTAAGATCCTTAACCACCCTTATCATAACTACCAAATACCAATATTCATTCATTATCAGAATGTTAACTCTTTAAATGTTTGTTTACGTAATGCCATTGCTTGTGGGGTGTTTTTTCTTTATGGAATAGATCAATGATTCTCAAAAACAGGATGCATTTGTAAAGACACCAGAAAAACTGCATTTATTAGAGCTAACATGAACAATTGCTATATATGGTCGAAAATAGTGAAAAGCTACATTTTGAAGTCAATGTCATAATTATTTGATGCTGCAAGATAGAGAGGAGGAGGAGGAGGAGGAGGAGGAGGAGGAGGAGGAGGAGGAGAGGAGGAGGAGGAGGAGAGGAGGAGAGGAGGAACAGGAGGAGGAGAGGCGGAGAGGAGGAGAGGAGGAGAGGAGGAGGAGGAGGAGGAGAGGAGGAGGAGAGGAGGAGAGGAGGAGGAGCAGGAGGAGGAACAGATTGACTTCATAGACGCTGCTTGTTCTAAATCTTTATTGAACGTATCGATCACTACAGTCTTCAGGATCAGCTTTAATACGTTGCTTCAAGAAAACTTTATTACAGACACAATCAGTGAGACACACGGTAACCAATGAGAAGCCTCCATTTAAAACACCATGTGACCCAGGACAGGAAGTGGTCTCCTCCTACAGAGGACACAGAGGACACAGAGACACTGAGGAGTCAGACGCAAACCCAAACCCAGCATAGAGAGGTTCAGTGAATGTGGCTCTGAAGGTGTGGAGGAGGATCAGTGAGGAGGAGGAGACTCTGGAGAAGGAGAGAGAGCCAGCAGCATGATCCAGATACACTGCTACTCTATGAGAGGAGGAGGAGGAGGAGGAGGAGGAGGGGGAGGAGATGTTTGTTCCTCTCTTATTGTGATAGACAGCGTAACCTCTATCAGAGCAGTACAGTCTCCAGGACTGATCATTCTCTCCAAACACACATTCATCTCCTTGTCCTTTCCTCCTGATTCCTCTGTAAGTCACTGCTATATTAACCTTTCCTCTCCACTCGACCTCCCAGTAACAGCGACCAGTCAGAGCTTCTCTGCACATCAGCTGAGCCTTGTACTCAAACCTCTCTGGATGATCAGGATATGGCTGCTTCTCCTCCACACGTGTCACCGTCCTGTTGTCCTCAGACAGTTTGAGTCTCCAGCCCACTGTGTTTGAGTCCAGGGTGAGTCCACAGGAATCTGAGGAGAGACACAGACAGCAGTTTATCACCAGACTCACCTGAAGGCTTTCCTCTCTGTCAGTGATCTTTCTATAAAGCTTCAAGAGGTCATGTTCTAATGAATAAATAGCACCTCCATCCTCTGTGTCTCTAGAGCAGGGGTCTCCAACCTTTTTTAGGGTGAGGGCTACTTTCAAAAAATAAAATAAGTCGTGAGCTACTTTTACTCCTCTTTTTGTTGTTTTTTGCAGTGTATATATTTAGCACATTTAACATTATGACATGCTGACCTTTAACCTTCAACCAATAACAAATCATTCAAACGGGTTTATTCTGATCTGATGTGTTGCAAGGAGATCGAGAGAAGAGAGAGAAGAGAGCGAGAGAGAGAGAGAGAGAGAGAGAGAGAGAGAGAGAGAGCGAGAGAGAGAGAAGTGAGAGAGATAGAGAGAGCTAGAGAAGAGCGGATGCCTCTTATGTAGAGAGTATCGATATCATCTCCATCTAGATCTCGTCTATCATCGTCTCTCTATCTCTCTCTCTCTCTCTCTGACGCTGTGTGCTCCTCCGTGGCGATGACGGCTTGCGTTTAAAAAATAAATAATAAAACATATTGTAAAGTGGGGGGACACAAACGGGATTTCTAAAAGAGCGGGGGACATGTCCCCTCTGTCCCAGGTGGAAGAGACGCCGTGTGTGTGCGTCAAGTGCAATAAATATATATGCAAGTTGCAGCACACAGAGTATATGGAATGCCATTTAAGCCAAAAATAAATAAATAAATAAATACATATATATATAAATATGTACATTTAAATACACATTTATTTATTTCATGGGACTTGTATTTCATAATGACACATTTATTTATTTCAGGGGACTTGTATTTCATAATGAGACATTTCCATTTCTTATATGCAAATGAACGGGGCGTGGTTAGCTCACAGATCCAGACCAAAGCAACAGCACCGCAACACTGACTCAATAGCTCTTGTTTCACACTCAGCCTGGTTTAGCTCTGGTTCTTCCTGTTTCAGCCGCAGCAGAGCCGGCTCTAAACACCGAACACCGGTTCTTAGCTGACCCCACTTGGCTGCCCGGCAAGAACCAAGAACCACGCTCACGTCGGAAGGGGGCGAGATTAACCTGAGCCATAATAACAGTTTATGGCGAGTACGGAAAATGAAAGTTGTAACAAGCAGTAGCGCTGAGCAAAGTGACTAGAAGGCAACCACACACTTATAAACAAACACACTTTATAAAGTCAGGCAACACTAACCAGGCTTCCTGTGATTCTGTTTATTTGTACCTTACTTTGACCATCCGTTCGCTGTTATTGATCATTGTGGAGAGCAGGCAGACGTTTTGTTTTGTATTATCGCAGCTATCAGATGGAATCAATACATGGGCTGCACAGGTTGTCATGTCCGACTATCACAAGTAGAATCATAATGAAAAGGTAAAATGTGCCTGTAGAAAACGGCTTATGCCACAATAGGATAGCAACAAGTAGTCAAGATAGTCAGTTCAGCTTCGGTTGCTGTTGCATAACTGCGGTCAACTCAGCCGTCTCTCGCCTTCGCTTGGTCAAATCAGCAGCTATTCATTTTTGAGTGCGCAATTAATAGCGCCTTTACGGTAAACTGACACTGTTTGACTCAGTCCTAGTTTGACTGCTACAATCAAATGAAGTAGGCTACTTTTACTGTGTACTTTTACTGTGTAATACTTTCTCAAAGTCCCTGAGAACAAACTCATGCCACTTCTGCTATTTGATAAAATGATTTGTATCCATAACTTCTTAATAAAATTGGTACTGTTGGACTCAGTACTTGTTAGACTACTACCACAAATACAATGAAGTAGGCCTACTTTTATTGTGTACTTGTTGAGTAATACTCTGTCAAACTCCCTTCCCGAGTACAATCATGCATGTTTTTAGCTATCTTTGATGAGATAAGTTGCCATAAGTTCTTAATACAATTGGGACTGTTGGACTCAGTACTACTTGGACTACTCCCACAAGTACAATAAAGTATTTTTACTGTGTACTTCTTGAGTAATCCTTTGTCAAACTCCCCTCCTGAGTACAATAATTCATGTATTCTGCTATATTTGATGAGAGATAAAATGATTTTTTGCAACAAGTTCTACATGAAATTGATACTGTTGGAGTCAGTACTACTTGGACTACTCCCACAAGTACAATCAAGTGTTTGAGTAATCCCCTGTCAAACTCCCCTCCTGAGTAGAATAATGCATGTTTTCTGCTATATTTAATAAGCGTTAAAAGCGTTCACAATACTGGGAGGCTGTGGCTCAGTGGGTAGTGTGCTGGACTTCGAATCAGGGGAGGACACTTCATCCCAAATTGCTCCTGTGGGGATTGTCCACAGTACTGAATGTATGTAAGTCGCTTTGGATAAAAGCGACATGACATGTAATGTAATGTAATGTACAGATAATGTTAGACAGAGTATTTTAAGAGGAGAAGGTAGACAGATGACATCAACACTAGATCCACTACATCAGTACTCCAGCAGCAGCATTGTTACCCCTTGGAAAGTCTTTAGAGACTATCCTGGATAGCTGTTCACAACCTTCCTTCAGCACAGTGACACACCCTGTCACGCTTGTTGGCCTCTCATGATGCTGCTAAAGTCCTTCTACTGCACCTTTTTGACTCCAATACAGGCCTTTGTATATGTTTGGAGAGATTACACAATAAATGGCCCAGATGTGTATACATCGAAATCTTGTAGTGCAGGAAGAAATACACACGGCTAAGCCTGCAGGTGATATAGGCTTTGTTTTGCAATATTTATTCAAAGGTCACTTCTTATTTAAACAAATACCTGAAATATAGATATTATCTCTTATCAAATATAGCAGAATACATGAAAGAATGTACTCAGGACAGAAGTTTGACCTAGTATTACTCAAAAAGTACACAGTAAAAGTACTTGATTGTACTTGTGGTAGTAGTCCAAGTAGTACTGAGTCCAACAGTATCAATTTAACTAAGAAGTTATGGATACAAATCATTTTATCAAATATAGCAGAAGTGGCATGAGTTTGTTCTCAGGGACTTTGAGAAAGTATTACACAGTAAAAGTACACAGTAAAAGTAGCCTACTTCATTTGATTGTAGCAGTCAAACTAGGACTGAGTCAAACAGTGTCAGTTTACCGTAAAGGCGCTATTAATTGCGCACTCAAAAATGAATAGCTGCTGATTTGACCAAGCGAAGGCGAGAGACGGCTGAGTTGACCGCAGTTATGCAACAGCAACCGAAGCTGAACTGACTATCTTGACTACTTGTTGCTATCCTATTGTGGCATAAGCCGTTTTCTACAGGCACATTTTACCTTTTCATTATGATTCTACTTGTGATAGTCGGACATGACAACCTGTACAGCCCATGTATTGATTCCATCTGATAGCTGCGATAATACAAAACAAAACGTCTGCCTGCTCTCCACAATGATCAATAACAGCGAACGGATGGTCAAAGTAAGGTACAAATAAACAGAATCACAGGAAGCCTGGTTAGTGTTGCCTGACTTTATAAAGTGTGTTTGTTTATAAGTGTGTGGTTGCCTTCTAGTCACTTTGCTCAGCGCTACTGCTTGTTACAACTTTCATTTTCCATACTCGCCATAAACTGTTATTATGGCTCAGGTTCATCTCGCCCCCTTCCGACGTGAGCGTGGTTCTTGGTTCTTGCCGGGCAGCCAAGTGGGGTCAGCTAAGAACCGGTGTTCGGTGTTTAGAGCCGGCTCTGCTGCGGCTGAAACAGGAAGAACCAGAGCTAAACCAGGCTGAGTGTGAAACCAGAGCTATTGAGTCAGTGTTGCGGTGCTGTTGCTTTGGTCTGGATCTGTGAGCTAACCACGCCCCGTTCATTTGCATATAAGAAATGGAAATGTGTCATTATGAAATACAAGTCCCCTGAAATAAATAAATGTGTATTTAAATGTACATGTATACATATTTATTGCCTCATTTATTTATTTCAGAATGTATTTCATAGGCATATTTATATATATATGTATTTATTTAATTATTTATGTATTTATTTATTTATTTATGTATTTATGTATTTATTTATTTATTTAATTTTGGCTTAAATGGCATTCCATAAGAGTAAAGCTCTGCCCCTCATGTGCTGTAGAGGCTGCATGATAGGCTGCTCAATGGGGCTGATGTGTTGTGTAGATTCTGCCAGAAGGAACATCAGCGGGGAGGTGCCTTTTCTTCCAGACTGCAACGCTGGTCCCGCAAATCAAGCAAGAACGTGATTGGTCGATATTCATTGTGGGGGTGGGGGGAGGAGGGGTGTTAGATAGATATAGAGTTGTAGTAAGTAGATAGAGTTCACTATGATGTAGGTTTCCTTTATGCATAGGGTCGATTCTTTTAATTACATTTCCTTTTTTGTTTTGTGTATTTTATACATTTTGGATTTGCTTGGCGAGCTATTTTTAGAACATGCCCCGCGGGCGACTCACGTTGCCCCTGCGGGCGACTAAGTGCCCGCGGGCACCGTGTTGGCTACCCCTGCTCTAGAGAGAAGCTGACTGATCCACACTTACAGTTCCTCAGATCACCTGCTCTGAACCTCTGCTCTCCACCATGGTCCAGCCTGGAGGAAGAAACACATGTGAGAAACAGAACAGCGTATTGTTAGAATAAAGTATTTATCAATGTTCATCATAATAATAAATCCTATGTGTCCGAAGGGAGCAGGAGGGAGCAGATGCTTATTGATCCCCCTCACTTCCTGCTGATCAATGATTATCCTTTCAATCATCTCTGAAAGTTATTCCTACTTACATATTTACATTTATACATTTACAATCATTTCTCCTCTTCAATCTCCTTTCTTCATTCTCATACTTTCCCAAAGAAGTGTTTCTGTGCATCCTTCAAAGTGAATGCTATGTGTGCTTTGTTTGAACTCCTACTCCAAGCCGCTCCATGAAACCCCCCCCCACAGATTGTTCTGCTCTTCTCAGAGTTCTTCTGACCTTGAGTTGTTTCAGATGTAGACCTCCTCTCAGATGATACCCCCCCTCTCTGTCTATGAACAACGTCTGTAGTGTCCTAGGAAGTAGATGATCTCTTGCTCTGTACATGATGCAGTTTGAAATGTAACCAGATCAGTAAACTTCAGTGTGTGTGACTTCAAGAATAATGAATGAGTGTGTTCAAGATATCCAACATTATTGATTATAGAAAAGTCTAAAAAGGATAGAAAATCCACTTTGCTTCTTCCGACTCATGCACTTGAGAGAAGAAGAAGAAGAAGAAGAAATGATGTAAAGATAATCAGAGAGTCTTTATCAATTCAATCACATGTCACGGTGGTGCAGGTGGAAAAGTCCCGATCGACCCTCTGGGGATCATAAATGTTAAACAGAATCTCATCTCAACACATTTAGCAGTTGGTGAGATATCTCAGTCAGAACCAAACCCATAAACTGACCATCATTATCCTCCCTAGAGCCAGGAAACCAGTGGTTCTGATGTTTGGACTGAATGGCTGTTTCCATGTAATAAGACTTGAAGGTTAACTCACTGCAGTGAACATAATCAAGGGAAATGAGACGTCCTTCATGATGGAAGACCAGAGATGAAGGAGATGAAATTAGAATAATACGAGGAAGTCAGTCTGTCCATACCTGAGTGTCTCCAGACTGCAGAGTGGATGCTCCCGTCCAGCAGAAAGCAGCTTCTCTCCTGATAGACGGGGTCAATTTTCACAAAATCAGAACCCCAAAGGCATTTTGTGTTTATTCATACTATACAACATTTCTCGGGGTATTAAGGGGTGCTGAATCCAACTCTGCTGTATATGAAGCTCAACAATGTCCCAAAATGCCTCACAATTGAGAAATCCAATGTGGCCTATGAGTCTCCAGGATGATTGTAGCTGATTGCAGCTCAGGTCCAGCTCTCTCAGATGGGAGGCGTTGGAGCTCAGAGCTGAAGCCAGAGAAACACAGCCTTCCTCTGACAAAATAGCAGGTTATTTTCCTTATATCAAGTCACTGGATCTTGTTGCATAATTATTTGTACATTGTCCAGTATAAGTTCCACCCCACAGAGAACCATCAGTTTTCCCACAGAGAACCATGGCCCTGAACCTGACTGACTCTTATTCCTGCTGCTGGGAGATGAGGCACGATACCAGCAGATCCCAACACCCACTGAGGGTGTGGACACAGCTCTCTCTCCAGTTATACAGGAAGTGGATGGCTCTTACTGTGTCGCAGTATACTCCTGCAGTAGCCTACCATCTACAAGACACCCTGGGGGGTCACAGTAATAACCCGTCCCTTCCTCCCCAAGTCATGTTGGACGGCAAATGATTCACTCAAGGACTCACTGCCATTTCAGAACCCACTGATGACTTTCTGGTCATTCCTCTGATCCATCCCCTCCCCAACACTGGCTTTTAGCATCACCCACTTGTATTACATATCTCCAATGTCCCACCAGGAGAAACTCGTTGATATAGCATTGGTGGTTCAGTGGTAGAATTCTCCTTCTTAATAAGATCGGCTGGCGCATCATAATGACGTTGGATAGTGTCAGTGCGGTCGGATTCTCAAAGCACAGCAGTCTCTTTCCCTAAGTCCTATCATTAACCCCAAGATGTTTCACAAAGGTTAAGGAATTGTGGTTAGGAAGAGACGAAAGACGATATATTTTGGAAGGTAATTGGATTCCTAAAATGCTGATCTATAAAGGTTCTACTACCCCTCACCTGGAACCAACAGGGTGACCCTGCCAGAAACTAGTGACCCTGACCTCTCTGCTTTCAGGGGTACCTCAGCCCCAACACCATGTGGAGGTGATGGTTCTCTGAGGGGTATATCAGGAGTCTAAAAACATGATGCATGGCTGTGAAAAATAAAACAAATTATATTTATATATATAGCTATATTTTTGTACACTCTTTTTTAAAGACCTACCTTTAGGGTCTGATGAGGATTCTGATAATGCCTCTAATAGATCATTCCTCGGGATCTCCTTCAAAACTTCTCTGGTCACTTTAATGACGTGTTTGCCGTAGTGCGTACGCATCAGATCCACTGTTTCCCTCCGCTCTGCTTTCTCTAGTTCACTCGTTGGGATTCCTGGGAGTTCTAGGACCTTCTCCTTCAGGTACCACTTGAAGTCTTTAAATTCCTCTTCCTTCAAAGCTTTTAAAGTTTTTAATAGGACTTTAGGTGTCTCCATCTTTTCTACCTGCAGAGCAAAGATACCAAGAAAGAAAATATTTATCTTACAGAACTATATGTTCTTATTTTGTACTTTTGAAAACCATAACAGGCCTTCGGGATCCAAAAAACAGCTGCCATGTGACTTTGAATGGTGTTACGACCCTGGGTCGCTATGTCATTTGTGTGCAGATATTTATTCTTCCTCTTGTCTGTGTCTGTGTGGCTGCGTGTGAGTAAGCAGGTGGTGCCCGGCAGCTGATTGGCTGCCCTCGACAGGCTGATTGGTCCACCTGAGGAGACGGGAGCATTTAAGCTGCAGCCGTGCAGTTCCTCGGCCCTCTCTCTGACTCGACTTCTCCTACTCCCAACACTGTTGCGTATATATATATCCAGGGGTGCACATAACTTTTTTAGTGAGTTACTCAGATGAGTACCAAGAGACAGCGTTTGGTACTCACCCCACACGAAGCGTGGTCCTCCTCAGTGTCTCCTTCACTGTCCTCAATTTACACTTCTTGCATGCTAGATGATGAAGATGATGAAGATGCACCTCCCTGTCTCTTTTTAAGCCTCCGATTTGCTTTCTCCAAAACTTGTTGCCAAAACTGTGAAGTCCTTGCATTTCCTGAGGCCAAGTTGAAGGATCAAATACTAAGAAATGATCACATGACTTGAAGTCATGTCTGATTTCAAATGTGGGAAGTAACAAAGCACACTTATTTACTCAAGTACAATTTTGAGATACTTGTAGTTGACTTGAGTATTTCTATTTTATGCTACTTTGTACTTCTACTTTTACTCCACTACATGTATTTAATACCTTTAGTTACTTTACAGATGTGGATGAATGATGTGAAATCTAATCAAGTGTTAAATCAGACTTTAGTTCCACCTGGAGTAAATTCACAAGCTACCCTGCAGTATACAAAGTCATTCAAACTAGCTGCTCCTTTACCAGCTTTGAGAACACTTTCATGATCAATCATTATAAAACATATCATATATATTATTCTGAAATGGACCAATCTGCACAATGACTACTTTTACTGTCGCTACTTTCACTATATTTTGATAACACTTTTCTAATTTTACTTGAGTAACATTTTGAATGCAGGACTTTTACTGTAACAGAGTATTCCTACACAAGATCTGAGTACTTCTTCCACCTCTGTCTGATTTCAAACTCTTCCATAACACCCTGAGTAAGTTTGCAGCTGTGTGTTTCACTCCACTTTGGTGTAAATAAAACTGCAGCAGCTTGACCACAGAGCGTGAACGTTGTGATCAGATGATTTTGCGCAGTTCTCCAGTGTGTGCGCGGGGCACAGAATGTGCACTGGGGAGTCTCCCACCGCAGCCAGTTGGCGGACTTTTGGCACAATTCTGTTGTTTATACCGACGTTAACCCTGTCTGTGCACACGGCGACCAACTCTGTTGTCCAGTGATCTAAGCCTCTGCCTCCTGGAAAGCTTCACAGGTCCGTCGGTTATGTCCTGCGCGGCTCACCCAGCTCCAGTTCAATCAGTCATAGAAAGATTTTTTGCAGGGAGCGAAACGGCAACGTAGCTGCTTAATGTCTTTGGGTTTTTTGACATGCCTAGTAGTTTACTCCATTGAGTGTTGACAAGAAACAAGTGTAGACGAAATATGTGTTTTGTTTTGATGTTTTGAGGTACGCAAAGGCGCGTAGTGACACAAGTGACGTTACGCAATTCAGATTTGTGCCGCGCATGCGTACCTGCGTACCAGTTATGTGCACCCCTGTATATATCTGTCCTGTTGTGCTGTGGGTGTACTTATACCGTACACCAGTCATTTTGCTTGTTTTGAAACCTCAGAAGTAGAAACTACTTTAACCTGTCCTTGTGGATACGCTTGAATTTGCCCAGGAGTGTGAAACCCTTTTCTTTTGGTTTATTCTCGTTTTCTCCTGTTTTTACGTCAGAGTAGGTAAGAAGCCTGTACGTTTATTTTTCTTATTTGTTAGGCAAGATTTATGTGTTCAAAGATTTGTTTGTTTTGTGGGTTGTTGCGCCTCCTTGTAAAAACTTTGGTAATTAAAATCACCAAACGGCTTTCTCTGTCTCGGTGTCCATGTTCTTGGGAATGGGAAGAGTGGGGAGAGTGCACATTTTGTGCTGCGCCTAGGTTCCCCTAGACCTGGGCGTAACAATGGCTTCAATTCAGATGTCGACATTCAGGAAGTCAATCCTAAACTTGAAGACAGTCAGCACAGTGAGTTCTGTCTTTTCCTTTAATGTCTTGGTTTGGTAACCTGACTTTAAAGAGCAGAAACTGTCTCAGTCAGATCATAAAGTGGTCTAGCAGACTGATTGGTGTGACACAGCTAATCCTGGAGACCCTGCTCATCAGACAGTTACAGAGGCTGTCTAACTCCATGTTCAATGAAGATTCCCACCCCCTGCAACCTGAGCTTCAGCTTCTTCCTTCGGGCCGGAGGTTAATCTTCCTAAAGGTGTAGAACCAAGAGGTTTAAAAACAGCTTTCTGGATGTTCTGGAGCCAGAGGGACTTTTTAAAGATGTGTCTGTTGTCTATATTGTATGAAGCATGTGGCACAATGGATACCTTTTCTTACTTCTGCAAACCAAGTTGACCTACTGGTATAAATAAGTACCATGAGAGAAATAAGAGAGTGACTCAGCCGGCAACCACACACCTGGTTCTGGTCTCTGGCAGTAAGCTGGTTACTGGACACAGAGCTGGGTCCAGGTCCAGGTCCAGGTCCAGGTCCAGGTCCAGGTCCAGGTCCAGGTCCAGGTCCAGGTCCAGGTCCAGGTCCAGGTCCAGGTCCAGGTCCAGCAGAGTGTGGTGTTTACTCTGGGCTTGAAGAGACACAGAACGTTTGAGTGAATAATGAGTGCCGAGCTGTGACATGGAGAAGAGTGATGGACAGGTGGAGATGTCATGTTCCGCAGAGCTTTTAGAGGGGGGGGCTTCCTCCTCTCTGTCCTCACTCTGATCCATAGCAGAGCCCCCACCTTCACACAAACACAACAACATGCTCATTCATTACCACAAGCTTTACATCACAGGTAGCCCCTCCTCTCAGATATTCAGGAACCTTGTTGGAGCCTCAACAGGACCGGACCAGCCCAGAATGTTCCCCACAGCCCCAGAACCACACAGAAACCCAGTGTGTTGACCCCTAAATATGTGTTAGTGTGTCACAGTGTATCACAGCACACACAAACAGTCACTTCAATGTACATCCACAGGTAATGTACAGCCCAGCCCCCCACAAGATATCCCACACAACTGAACTGCGCTCAGTAACCATTCAACAAAACTTCTTTGTTAAGTTTAGAAAAAACATAATTTTTTGGCTTAAAATATGTACGTTAATTACATGAAAGCAGTTACGGACTTTAATTAAAACGAGGTATTTTGTATGAAGGTAGATATGGTGCAAAACGCGAGAGCGTGTAAAACCTGATGTGAGCACTTGCAGAAAAGAAATCTGAGCTTGTGTGCATACATTTACACTTGTATAACATATCCACGTATCTGTGAACCACATTTGAAGCCACAGAAGAAAAATAAAAGTTTTGTAGCTTGTAGAAAAAAAATGAACGTAGTGATGAAATGTTCACTTGCAGAAAAATATATATTTTTTAAATATATTTTCCATTACAACTGCAACTTGGTTATTACAACCTCTCAAATCAGTCATTACAACTTCACGAATCTGCTCTGTGGCAGTATACATCCACGAATCTGCGGCCATGACTTTTGCTACACTTCTTGCGATGAATGTGTCGCAAAAGTAATTTTCACCTGTAGATGTGGGGGGAGGGAGGGGGGTTGGAGCGAAGGGGCGGAGCTATCAGAACGACGAGGCTCGGGTCAGTCACACAGTCACAGCCATAGTCAGGTCGAACCAGATGACTGCGGGGCTAACGGTCCGTGTCTTCATGCTTATATCGGACTATTGTGACTCGCTCTGCGGTTAAAACAGACGGTGCATGAATGCGGTTTTGCGGTAAGTGAAATTCGAGTACTTATTTATGTGTTTATGATTTTAATCAGCTACATAATGAATGTTAAGGCTTGGGTTAGCGTGTAAGCGAGTGGTAGCTACATCTGTGCTAACGATGCTAATCGTAGCCTGCAAGTTAAAACCATAGACTGTATAAAGGTTAAAACGAAATAGACAAGTGTTTAGCGTTAAGTGAGATAATACTGTAGAACAAACGGCTTCTGTTTGAGGTTGGTAAAATAAGGTCATCCTGGTAACTTAGAGAGATATTTTATTATGTAGGTAGGAACTGTATGCATCGCTAAGGTTAATTTAAATCCGCTATGCTGAAGTATGTAGACAAGCTAACGTCGAAGTAGTGTATGTGAAATCAACCTCACAATAAGATGTGTGTATATTACAATTATTAATGTCATATTTCAAGATGATTACTTGGATATTACAATATGGTTGGTTGAGCTGGAGTTCATTATTGAGCTTAGATGTTAACGTCAGTCATATCTGAAGAACGAACCCAAATCTTGTTGTTTTTATTAATTGCATTACCAAATTGGTATCAAATAAACAGTAAGCATTGGTAACACAACTTCCAAAGTTACAGTAAAATAAAAAGGACCCTGACTCGGGCAATACACAATCCAACATGTTCAACATTCACTAAGAAACTACTTTTATTGTGAAGTCAGCTGATCGAATGCACCTATTTCCACATCTACACTCCATCAGCTGATTATTTCTATTTGCCTCACTTTATGAGCTTCACAACATGTACCTTGTACCGCAGAGTTTGCAACGCAAATAAATGGGGCCAATCTTCAGTCAGATGTGAATGTGTAATCTAACATTTTCAGTAAGAATAATGGACAAAAGGAGTACAAATACAAATACAATTTATTGAAATGTGAACCAAAAGTTCAAAAATATTTTAAATAAAAGCACATATGGACAGAAGGTGTAAACCTATTAAATGTATAAGTAAACACATTTAGTCAAATAAAGTGACAGACTAGGCCTGTGCAGGTGGTATTAGCTATGCATGGGCTCCTCCATCAGGCCTGGTCCTCCTCGCTGAGGAAAGACCCTCAGTCCTCTCCAAACCAACAGACAGGACGTCCATCACACGGAGATTTCTCCCTGAAGTCTCTGCAGCTCTCTGGACACCACGCTGTCTCAATCCGTCCACACTGAATATGAGAGGGGGAAAATGAAAATAATAAATGCTTTAGACAATAAGAAATATAAAACTGAACCGTTGAGTTGCTCAGTTTTTTTAGATTGTCAATACTATTACTGTATAACTAATATCCCAGGTTAAGAGGCACCTTCAGATAAAGATTGGTCTTTAAATACATTTTGTCTTTTGAATTGTTTGTCTAAAGTCAAGGATCTAGAACTGGTACTTTTAATGGTACAGTCTGGTTATTATGCTGTTTGGAGGAGGCATCACAGGTAAGAGCACTAACTAGCTACCATCACATGTACCTTAGTTTGACTTAAATGTATTAAACGTATAATTAAGTGATGGCAAAATATAAATAATGTCATGCACACATATTCATATTTGCTTGATTCCAGTGTTGAATTTAGCACAATTGCATACAAACGTCAAGGGATTTTAAGATTCTGAAGTCTTCGTTAAATAGCATGGATAATTTACAAAGGCTTTAAAAACACAGCAGGAGCCCAAGACAATTATAAAACTTGTCTTTATTTCAGTACAGTTCAATTGGTTTTATTTTCATAAACGGTTATCAACCGTTAGTGCCAAAGCAGTAGGCTATAATATATTAATTACTGCTGTATAGACTACAGCCACTACTTGTTTAGCTAGCATAAATTCAACAAAGCTAGCGTTAGCTGGCTAACTAACGTTATTTTGCCGCTAAACTGCACGATATAAAACGGTGGTCTTCATAGCGGATTTAATCCTCAATCACATTAATAATATTCAAAGTAATACTGGGGAAGTAATGGGCAAAACTTACCGTTGATTGACGCGCCATGTCAGCGGACTGGTAGCGACAACACTTTTTTTTTCTTCTGTGACTTCAAATGTGGTTCACAGATACGGATATGTTATACAAGTGTAAATGTATGCACACAAGTTCAGATTTCTTTTTTGCAAGTGCTCACATCAGGTTTTACACGTTCTCGCATTTTGCACCATATCTACCTTCATACATGTACACCTTCAGACAGCCTACAAGTGAAGCACACGTTGTTTACTCACAGTTTGAAAGCAGCGTGGAGAAGTCTTCAGCTGTGGAGCTGTGATCCGCCCAGGATAACTTGTGATACGACTTCTGTGGCTATCTACCAGCGATTGTGTTTAATATTAAAGACTACACACATGTCTCCCTTATCAAAACGGTATTGTGCACTTTGCACCACTTATCCAGATAAGATGTGACTGTTTAACTTTAGTTATGCGTCGATACAGTGACACAAACCTATGAGAGGCCGTCTAGCTCACAACTCATACTTGGTCTTACAAACAATATCAGAATCTCACACATACACCATTAAACTCTTTTATACAGCTAAACACTTTTACACGCACAATCATACTCTCTTTCACACACTTTTGTCTGGGCCATAAATCAAACTTACTTACATACCAAACTGTACTTTCTTAGGAACACTATTATTCCCACTTACAGACAACATCATACTACAATATAATACTCTAGTAGTGTATGCAAGATAGCAAACTTTGTGTGTGAGAAAGAATGATAGTGTATGTGAGAGAGGAATTGTAGTATGTATGAGGGTATAGTAGTGTGTGTGTGAGAGAATGATAGTGTATGTGAGAGAGGGATTGTAGTATGTATGAGGGTATAGTAGTGTGTATGTGAGAGAATGATAGTGTATGTGAGAGAGGGATTGTAGTATGTATGAGGGAATAGTAGTGTGTGTGAGAAAGAATGATAGTGTATGTGAGAGAGGAATTGTAGTATGTATGAGGGAATAGTAGTGTGTGTGAGAGAGAATGATAGTGTATGTGAGAGAGGAGTTGTAGTATGTATGAGGGTATAGTAGTGTGTATGTGAGAGAATGATAGTGTATGTGAGAGAGGGATTGTAGTATGTATGAGGGTATAGTAGTGTGTGTGTGAGAGAATGATAGTGTATGTGAGAGAGGGATTGTAGTATGTATGAGGGTATAGTAGTGTGTATGTGAAAGACAATGCTTGTGTTTTTGAGAGCTTATGACAGTTTATGTGAGAGGACCTTGTGCTGGTTGTGAGAGAGTATACTTTAAAAGGACGTCAGGTTGATCCAACAGGAAGCCAGTTTAATCATTAATTCCTTGACTGGTTTACAGCCTTGAAAACAAAGCCTGAAGCTGCTCAGAGCACTGCTAGCTACATTTGAGCTGCAATAAGTACTTTTGTTAACACTTTATATTAAGGTGCACCAATTCACCATCAACTAGTTGTTAATGAACATGCATATTAGCAGTATATTGGCTCTTTATTAGTCACTATAAAACACCTATTAATGCCTTATTCTACATGACCATATTCTACAAGTAATAGGCCATTAGCTGAGAGTTTTTCCTCAATAACCCTCTAATTGGTGCTTAGTTATTGCAAGTAAGGAAGTTGTTTGGTCTTAATATGCTCAATATGGACCTAATAAGGCAGTAGTACCACAAGAATAGTAATTATCCACACTTAACAAATATTATATATCCTTATGTAACAAGACATGAAACTATAAGTGTTAATTAAGTCTAAAGTCTAAGTCTAAAGACGCTTTTACCCAAAGCAACTTACATACTCAATACTGTGGGCAATCCCCACAGGAGCAATTTGGGATGAAGTGTCTTGCCCAGGGACACAACGACATGCTGACTGCAGTGGGGTTTGAACCTGTGACCCCCTGATCCGAACCTACACACAACCCACTGCGCCACACGCCTCCACAGAAGAATATGTTCCCTATTTTAAAGTGAAGTCTTGTTCATAACCAATAAGCTAGTAGTTTGACTCTAATTGACCTGAACAGGTTCCCTATTCTAAAGTTGCCTCCTCTTCACACTTTGTAAATACATTATAGCACGCAACTACTGAAATTAACCTCAACAGCACATGAACAAAGTAGGCACACGTTGAAATATCTGTTTTATTAAACCACTAAAGAGAGGTTCAGACACATACCAAAACATGTCAAGTTTCTCCAAGGCTGAGAACACATGATATGCAGCCTGTATACTTCTTAATAAAAACTGATTTTTAACAGAGTTTATGTATTTGTGATCATACTGTGTGACCTGCTTTACACAATAGGTGTACTGTGTTGTACTGTCTCAGTGTGAACAGATTAAATAGCCAGCCAAACTCTTTTGAGAGCCAGGGAATGAGCAGCCATGCTCCTTTATTTAATTATTTGCAGTCCACTGACATTCAAACGGAGTGAAACTATACAAAAAGAAGTTACAAGGCACTTAATGATCTCATACATGCAAGTGTAACATACACAGATTAACACTTAGGACCGCTAAGTGTAAACAAGGTAAATATAGCTAATGCTAGCTGTAGCATATCCCTCCGAAATATGGTCGTAGACTTTACTGATGATTTAGAATTTATTGAAACTCCAGAGTCAACGTAAGAGCTATAAAGACACAAAAATAACAAATACATTTAGGCTCAATCCGTATTAGAATCACTTTAGCATACTACCAAAAGTTAACTATTAACAGCAGCGACGTGCAGTCAGTGGAGGCAGGGGAGGCAGAGCCTCACCTGTCATACTCCAATGTAACGGAAAAACAATTAAAGAAAAACTAAATAATAATAATAATAAAATGTCTCCACTGATCTTGTGTAAATGTGATTTCTGTATGATTCCAATCTCATTTTATAGTAAAAATCAGCAAATTTGCCGAGCTCCGCTACGGGAGCGATGAGAAGTGAGGCAAGCACGAGCACTGCCTCTCGTAAGCCCACAGTAACTTGCTGGAGCACGGGCACTAATTTAGCGCGGCCACTTATTTTGTGAGCGCGCTCAAGCCAGTTACTGTGGGGTGAGGTGAGGCACAGATGAGCCCTGCCTCAATTCAGAATGCGTCACCCCACAGAAACTGTCTGGAAAGCGGGCCCTAAGCGCATGCCTGTTACCATCTCACTGTATGTCACCAATGTAATGTTTGTAGATCCCTTTATTACATTTATCCTCGCCATCCATAGTCTCTAAATAACTTATTTCACGTATATATGATATTTAGGCTCGCTGGTCTCTCGTACAACGGCAATGAAAAAATCACCAGGGGAGGCAGCCATAACCTCTGCCGCACTGAAGGGGGCGCACGTGAGCCCACAGGTTCTTGTTGCTACTGTTATTCTACCGCAAACAACAAAGAAACTAGACTTTTGAAACTACAGGAAGATAAGGAGGACTTTTACAAAACAGTAATAGAGATTGTTGTCCAGAAGGATAGCATGGACTTATATTCATCTTCAAGTCAAGGTAAGACCACAACTGTAATGAAAATGGGATCTTACTTAGAAAGAACAATCCAATATTTAGATGTTGGGTATCCTTTTGTTGATCGGTCTGTTTAAAATTAATCATAGCATCAGACTAAAAAAGCTTCAAAGGTCAAAATAGGCTATAATATTTGTAAATCTGACTCTGAAAGAGTCAGTGCCCCACCAGCCATGAACCTCACCGCACGTCACTGATAAACAGACAGCAAAGCTACAAAACAGCTTATAAACGAATTAGGACACAACCTACAATTTTATATTACAGTAAATACCAACCTTGTGCCTCTTCGGGGGGTGCTAACATTTAAACATACACTTTATTCTTTAATTTCTCCGTCTTTATAGAGTGGCGAAGTCACGCCCATCTACTTCCGCCCCATGGGACCTTATTTCGGAAAAATAATGTATTGAAGTCAATGGAGAGAGAAAACTTATCTTTCGATCCCGTTTGAATTGTGCCATGAATTACACATATGATGTTTGTCAATCTTAAAAAATAATTTCCATGTCAAAAAAGTCACAGTTTGTCGTAAAACTGTTGAAATATAAGACGATGAAAAATACGCAACTAGAAAGACTACAAATCCCAGAGTCGCGTAAGTGATGTCATAATTGAGATAGCTAAGATCAGCGCCATATAGATATAATCTATCTATATGGCGCTGGCTAAGATAAGATAACTTTAACAAGATGCCTGTGTGCTTAGTACCAGGTTGTTATCATACCAGCAATGGGTCTTGCTCGTTCTTTCGCTTCCCGTCTGATGAAAGGACCAGGAGTGTCTGGATCAAGCTAGCTAGTAGCTAGCACGTTAGTTAGCATTACAGCCTTGTCATTTTTATTAGCCTTAACATGAAGTAACATGAAGTAACCCAAAATGTTAAACAGTAAGAGTAGTAGTCATATTTCGTGAACCCTTTGAAGAGTACTGTCACACCGGTGTGATCATTCTATAATACACCATTTAAGCCCGGGGGAGAAATGCTAACGCTAACGCTAGCGATCTTCTCTACTTCATGCTATCTGCACAAATGGTTGACATTAAACATTAAAACGACCAGGCAGTTCAGAGAGAATCAAAGGAAGGCAGGCAGGCAGCTTTGCATGACATTCTTCAGGACGTGTTTCATTGTGGTGATAGTGAGGGTAGTCAATCGTTTTGTTGACAAGACAGTAGTGACGGCCATCTTGGTGACGTGTGTTGTTGACCAGAGATGTAGTTCATTGAGCGTTTCACACAAACAAATGTGTTACTTCACAGTTTTACGACACATTTCTTTTTTTTTTTACTTGCAAAATTATCTTTTAAATTGATAAACATCATATGTGTAATTCGTGGCACAATTCAAACGGGATCGAAAGATAATCTTTCTCTCTCCATTGACTTCAATACATAATTTTTCCGAAATAAGGTCCCATGGAGGTCCACCGGAAGGGGAGGGACTTCGCCACTCTATAGAAGATATTTCTTTTCGCAGTCATGTTGTTTCCATAGCAACAACAACTTCCTGTCAACAGCGTTAACTCGCCTTCAAAATAAAAGCATCTAAATGAAAAAGGAAGTTAACCTAAATTACATTTAAGACGTATATAAAACTGCAACGAAAGCAACAAAAACAATGCAACATCCCCTTCAGTCTCACAGAACACAAATGGGGTTATTTACACTAGCTGTTCAATAAGCATGTGTACAGCATAGGTGTACAGGCTAGTATGGCTAACGCTAACATGTATGCTAACGCTAGCGCGAATGCTAACGCATTTTCTCATTGAGTTTAAACATCTCCAAATGTCATCACATAAACACAATACATGTTACTAATCCTTACAGTGTAAGTGTAAGGCTCACACTTACACTTA